CCCAGATAGTGACGCACTTCTGCACAACCATAAAGAGCCAGGGCCACAGACCCCTGCCGCCCCATAATGCACCTGCACAGTCAGATGTGCGTTGTTACCTGAAAATGGCAATCACACATCAGCATTTTGATGATTGATGATTTTGTTCTGTTAAAAAAAAAACAATCAGGGCTTTTAAAAGTTTATCAACATGAGAAACAATCCGCTTTTCACGCTGCTCTATGGCACGTGATTTTCTCAGTGGTCTCCCATCACAGATAAACCAAGACCTACCCTGCTTAGCCTCTGAGATCTGTCAGAGTGAGGCTTAGAGATTTCGTACTTGTTCCTTGATTATGCTGATGTTGTAGATTTCATTTCTAGTATATGGTTTTTGCTGCTCAGTAACTGTTGATGCAACACTGACATTTCCTCTCTGTGGGATGAAAACAAGATCTCTTCATCTTCATCATGCGGCCCAACGCTGTTTCTCCTTTTATTCTTCTGTTCTCCCTGTGTTTCTTTCGCATCATCTCCTGTGTTTTTCCTGAGTCCATCGTGACAAGAAGTGTGTGAAACCTGCAGATCAACCTGCTGTATACAGCTCACTGAAATAAACCAAAGTAACTTGTAACGTAACGTCTGCCTCTAGCATTTAACAAACCTCTGCACCTTAGTGCACATTTTGTTTTGTTTTGGGCACTCTGCCCTGGGGTTGGTGCTCTTTTTCTTTCTTTTATATGTTATATTATTTTGGGAGCGCAAAGCCGCCTCGACTTGTCACATATGCATAGTGTGTACAGTATGTAGAGTATGTATAGTATACATTATGTACAGTAACAGTATGAATAGTGTGTACAGTATGTATAGTATACAGAATGTACAGTATGTATAGTATATCAATCAATCAATCAACTTTATTTGTATGGCGCCTTTCCAACACAAGGCCACTCAAAGCGCCTCACAACCCACATAATATCAGACAAATCAGAAACATCAAAATCTACATTTACAAACAATAAATACATTAAAAACAGAATAAAATCACAAGTAATAAAAAAACCTTAAAACATGGGCGGCACTGTGGCTGAGTGGATAGCACTCTCGCCTCTCAGCAAGAAGGTCCTGGGTTTGAATCCCGGTTGGACCAGGGCCTTTCTGAGTGGAGTTTGCATGTTCTCCCCGTGTCTGCGTAGGTTTCCTCCGGGTGCTCCGGTTTCCCCTACCACTAAAAATATGTACAATAGGTCTGGCATCCTGTACTGGCACCCCCACTCCCAAAAATCACAATTGTAAACCGCTTTGAGACTCCGATGTGCAGTGAAAAGGCGGTATATAAATAAAGATTACTTACTTACATATTACTTACATTAAAAGAACCACATAATAAATAACCACAATGCATTAAAAAAATAGTATGTATCAATAAAATCCTTCAGCCGTATGCACAGCTAAAAAGAACAGTTTTTAACCCTGATTTGAAAATTGCCAGAGTAGGTGCTAGCCTCACATCTTCAGGAAGATTGTTCCAGATTTTAGCTGCATAAATCTCAAACGCTGCCTCCCCATGTTTAGTTCTGACTCTTGGAACCAGTAAGAGGCCACCTCCTGTGGTCCTCAGAGTCCGGGCTGGTTCATATGGGACTAACAAGTCGCTTAAGTACTTTGGTGTGAGGCAATGGAGAGACTTGTACACAAGCAGAGCTGTTTTAAAGTCTATTCTCTGAGCCACAGGAAGCCAGTGCAGAGACCTGAGGACTGGACTAATGTGGTCATATATACATTATGTACAGTATGTATAGTATACAGTGTGTATAGTGTGTACAGTATGTATAGTATACAGTATGTATAGTTTGTATAGTATACAGTATGCACAGTGTGTACAGTATGTATAGTGTACAGTATGTACAGCATGTATAGTATACAGTATGTATAGTGTGTATAGTATACAGTATGTATGGTATACAGTATGTATAGTGTGTACAGTATGTACAGTATGTATAGTGTGCAGAGTATGAGCTAAACACTTCCAATTTAAAACACATGTTGAATCCTGATCCTGTGTCTTTTGTTCCATTTGACAAAGTAAATGCTTGTGTTCCGTCCAGTGCAGCATCAGTGGAAACACCTCCAGGTCCTGCTGATTTCTGTGAGTATAGCATATTATTATTTTTATTATTTTTATTATATATTATTGACCTATCTGAGTGGATCAGGCTGGACTCTCACACAACTGTGGAAATATTCTTTATTTCTATTGTCAGTCACTTTTAGAATGATGTATTTGTTTGTTCTCCACACGCTCCATCCGTCTGGTTTGGCGCAGACTCAGTTCTGATCTAAGTGACATTTGAGTTCATTCCACAAACGTTTAACTGAGGCTCAATGTCTCATCTTTAATCCGTATCACACTCAGCTTCTCCAACTCTGAAACCACCACATTTACAGGATTAAAGCCCTCGTGTTTACAGCGTCATCAAAGACTGAACACGTCCAGACTCAGACTCAGGATAATGAAGTGCTCAAGCTCAGAGTTTGTCCTGAGAAATGAAAAGAATGCAGTGGTTTAAAGAACTTTGTAAACACATTTTCATTTCATTCTGCAGTCTTGAGATAATGCGAAAAGAAAATAATGTGAGAGGACATTTTTGTGCTTGTTTAATTCTCTATAAAACACATTGATAGAAATGTTGTAGCTTCATGTTTGTCTGCAGCATGTTGTTTCAGCTGGTGGCCTCGATCCTCGTTTTACAGTCTGAGTCCAGGATCTACAGTCTGTCCGTCCCAAGCTCTGGTGATCCAAGATGGCGGCGTGTTCAAATCAGTTGCGCATGTGCCACCAAAAGATTCGCAGAAAATGTGCCCACAGTTGGTCATTTCTCTGGTCCTTCCGGGCTCTGCGCAGTGGACGACCTCCCATGATGCTTTTCTACCTTTTTTTCACTAATATTTCATGATATCTCGTACCTTGGGCCATAACGAGTCTATAGAGCCCACTCCCAACTCGGCCTCGTTTAGTCTTAGGTTAAAAAAAATGCCAAAATGATGTCAGATTGTGGGAAGACTTTTGCTTTTGTCTTCTGTTCTTCTTCTCTATGACAGAAAAGATCATATTGTGAAGTATACACATTTATAAGTCGCATTTTTTCATTATTAAACACACAGTCGAGCATTACATAGTCTCCCTGGAATAATCTATCTTTTCCTCATAATATTTACATAATTTTTTAATAAAATACCAACTCCGTCCGCACTTGAAGCTACAATCCAGAGTAGATTCCCCCGGCTGAGAGAACATTTCCGCCTGGCTACACACAGCTTTTGTAGGAATGCAAATAAGGGCCAGCGACAGCCTTAATGCATGCACACAAACACTGACCACGTCTGAGAGGTGGCGGCACAAGACAGAAAAGAGGATTTACAATTCTCTACGACCATTTCACAAACGCTGTACGTCGGCCTGATGGGAAAATCCGGTCTTTTTCACGCCTCTTTCCATAATTACTTTCAGAACACAGCGACGGAGCTTTTGTTTTATGGCACCAGGCTTTAACTGAGCGTGACACAGTTCTTTCCAGGCCTTACTATGTTTGTTGAACTGTAAAGGAGAAAATCTGATTAATAACGGCATTGTTGTATGTATTTATAACAGACAATAGGTTTGTCAATATATTTCTACAAAGACAACTGATCTGCAAAGTAAAATGAGTAAAGAAAAATACATTAGCAAAAGCCAAAATGAGCCATGGACAGTTACAAGGAAAGTGTTTTTGTGTAGCACAACTCAAAGTGCTTCACAAAACATTAAAACAAACATCAAAACGAGGCATTCAAATCATAAATTATCACAGCACATTAGAAAGAGTGAAGATAAAAGTTGTTTTTAACTTGGATTTGAACATTGTCAAAGAAGATTTTTAAAGATTTTAGCATAAATCTAAAATGCTGCCTCCATATGTTAAGTCCTGACTCTGGGACCGTCCCTGTGCTCCTCAGAGTCCCAGCAGGAGTCTGGTCCCTGTGCTCCTCAGAGTCCCAGCAGGAGTCTGGTCCCTGTGCTCCTCAGAGTCCCAGTTGGTTTAATAATGGCACTAACTTTGGTGCGAGGCCATGAAGAGACTTGAATCAAACAGAGCTTTAAAGTCTGGACTCTGAGTCACAGGAGCCAGTGCAGAGACCTGAGAACTGGACTAATGTGATGGTACTTCCTGGTTCGAGTCAGGATTTTGAATAAACTACAGCTTTTTTACAACTCATTTGGAGAGAGCATGGTGAGCCACTGATACTTTAACACTTCATTTTCATCTATAGAAAGTCAAACAATCTAGAAAAAGTCCCTATTCTTCTCACATTATTTTCGTCTCACATTATTTAGACCAATGAGGTGATAGTGGATCAATGCCAGAGGAAATGCCAAACACCACCTCAAGGCACACTAACAGGCCACGGCCCACTGGTTGACAAACACTGGTCTAAGCTGCTGGAGACAAATGCGGAATAAGAATCTCCAAGTCTGCTATAGCCACATCAAATAGTCTGTGTATCTTGAGCAGCAGGGCAGAATACGACACTTTCCTTTACTTTGAGGCAAAAAGACGGTCATCTTTCTGAAATTATTGTTTTTTCATTTTTCACGTTTTTTCAAAGCAATTCTTTATGATATGTGCAACCGCGGCGTCGACCAAACCTAAGACTTGTGGAGAGTTTGAGGTAAAATGCCACAGTGAAGATATAATAATACATTCCAGACGTATCAATAACATCTCCGTAGACTAGAGGAAGACTGGCTCGGAGTATTTGGCAGTGTGGGTTGTGATTGGTTGCCTGAGGCCGAGCTGGAAGTGCTCACGGTAGAATTGTCTGATGTTTTTGAGCCGAGGTTCGGAGAGTTCCTCAGGTCGAGGTGAGCAGGTTAATCCCGGCTCTTTTCAGACTCTGCAATCAGCGCCGACAAATGGACCAGTGCATTTCAGGCTCAGTCCTCATTCCCCGGCTCTTATCACAGCATGGAGACACTGATATCACAGCAGGGGTGGCAGCAGGGGCAGTAGGAGCGGCAGGGGCAGGCAGGGGGCACAGGGAGCGGCAAGGCGGCAGGGGCGGAAGAGGTGGCTGGGGTGGGTCAGGCGCGGCAGGGGCAGTAGGGGCGGCAGGGCAGTAGGGGCGGCAGGGCAGTAGGGGCGGCAGGGCAGTAGGGGCGGCAGGGCAGTAGGGGCGGCAGGGGCAGTAGGGGCGGCAGGGCAGTAGGGGCGGCAGGGCAGTAGGGGCGGCAGGGGCAGTAGGGGCGGCAGGGCAGTAGGGAGCGGCGGGAGCGGTAGGGACAGCAGGGGGTGGCAAGGCGGCAGGGGCGGAAGAGGTGGCAGGAGTGGGCAGGGGGTGGCAGGGCCAGCAGGGAGCGGTAGGGACAGCAGGGGGCAGTAGGGGTTGGCAGGAGCAGCAGGGGCCTTTAGTTCTGTCTGTTCTAAGAAGAAGAGCATGTGGCTATTTGATGGGTTTTTAATTTGACGTTTGACTGATATATTATTGTCATTAGCACTAGACCTCCCAGAGCAGTCGACTTGACAGTTTTTTTTTGTGTAATTACTGCTTATGTACATCTGAGGACTTTATTCACATTTCATCTTTTTTAACTTTAACTCCCAGATCAAAAGACTCATTTTGAGCAGTGAGATAGCATTAGCCTTTCACCAAACTGCTTTCACTGTATTCACTGTAACCAGTTTTAGCACTTATCAAAGAAAATGTATACATTGCTTAATTGTAAAGCTGTTTTAACTGATTTGGTTCAAAATTCCATTGATTTGAAAGGAAGACATCAAAATGACTCAACTATAGTGTTATTTATCTGTTCAAATATCAGTTAAAAGGTTTAAAGAAGGAGTTTCCCAAAGTTTAGGAAAGAACTGCCCTCTCCACTTTTTGAACAAAACTCTCTGGTCTTATTGGACGAGCACGTATCACCAGAATGATTGACAATTGGGAGGACCAATAGTCTCGATGATCCACCCGGAAGTAGAAAATCCTCCTATGTACCGTTTTTCATTAACCCTGAACTTCCTTATGCTCAGATGTATCGTGATTGACAGATGTAAGTCCCGCCCACTATTGCGAGTATGTTTTCAAACCCCAAAGCAGAACTGGAGGTCAAGGTCGTTTTAACAGTCTTTAATAACTAAAAACGAAAAAATACTGAAATAAGGATGAAGCAGTGGAGGCAGGGAGCAGGCCGGACGCAGAGGAGCGAGGAAATGAATGAACAAACCCGAGGATTGGACGAGGCACGGAATCCGGAGAACACAAGCAGAATAAACAAAACAGATGAGTAGAAAAACTGGAACTGGAGGAATGTACTATTATCTTCCATTATCTGACTGTAGTGGACACAAACAGAACCACAACACCCACAATGCACCTGCACACATCATGACGAGTTAGTTATGCGCATATTGAACATTTAAAGAAGAAATATTACTTTTACTACTAATATAATTATTTTCATGTTTAAAAGTGTTGTACCATCTTCATTAGTAAATATATGATCAGACAAGTTTCCATCTGCAGTTCAGTTTATCAATACTTTTAAAACGTTTCACTAAATACAGTCTCTATCCTGAGCATCTGTGGGTTAATGGACCTCATTACGATGAAGAGATCTGTTTGAGGATTCGTCTCAGAACCTCAGAGCAGAACCGAGACAAAGATGTTTTTACTGTAACTAACCACAAAAATACTCAACAGAGGAAGAAGCAGAGGAGCCAAGGACTACCAAGGACTACTGAGGACTACCAAAGACTACTGAGGACTACCAAAGACTACTGAGGACTACCAATGACTACTGAGGACTACCAATGACTACCGAGGACTACAAAAGACTACTGAGGACTACCAAAGACTACTGAGGACTACCAATGACTACTGAGGACTACCAATGATTACTGAGGACTACCAATGACTACTAAGGACTACCAATGACTACTGAGGACTACCAATGACTACTGAGGACTACCAATGACTACTGAGGACTACCAATGACTACTGAGGACTACTGAGGACTACCAATGACTACTGAGGACTACCAAAGACTACTGAGGACTACCAATGACTACTGAGGACTACCAAAGACTACCGAGGACTACCAAGGACTACTGAGGACTACCAATGACTACTGAGGACTACCAATGACTACTGAGGACTACCAATGACTACTGAGGACTACCAATGACTACTGAGGACTACCAAAGACTACTGAGGACTACCAATGACTACTGAGGACTACCAAAGACTACTGAGGACTACCAATGACTACTGAGGACTACCAAAGACTACCGAGGACTACCAAGGACTACTGAGGACTACCAAGGACTACTGAGGACTACCAAAGACTACTGAGGACTACCAAGGACTACTGAGGACTACCAAGGACTAATGAGGACTACCAAGGACTAATGAGGACTACCAAGGACTAATGAGGACTACTAAGGACTACCAAGGACTACCAAGGACTACCTAGGACTACTGAGGACTACCAATGACTACTGAGGACTACCAAGGACTACTGAGGACTGAAGAGGATTACTGAGGACTACCGTGGACTACTGAGGATTACTGAGGACTACTGAGGACTACTGATGACGACTGAGGACTACTGATGACTACTGAACACTACTGAGGACTACCGAGGACTAATAAAATGCGCACCCTTGAGGGAAGAGACTAGTTTGCAGTACAATAAACAAACTGAAGGGCCTTTCCAAACCTTGTGTGGGATCTTTCCAGGTTAATGACAATAACAAACATTCACTCGGATAAAGAACATCTCGGCCCAATTTCTTCAATTTTTCAGATTTTTTAAAAAACAGGGCAGATGGTCCCAGGAGCTCAGACAAAGGCAAATATTAGATTCATAACCCCACATTGGGACATCTCTATTAGCAACGAGCAGGAGGAGGAGGAGGAGGAAGAGGTCAAACTAAAGTGTGTTAGAGGGAAACTTATGCAGCTTTTTTGGTTCTTTTGAAAGACAAGTTTAGATGCTAGAACTGAAACTAATGCAGGTCTCAGGTGGTAAACCCGTGTCACCTGCTCCCACTGATGTCTGCTGTCAGTGTGTCCCTGGGCAAGACACTTTACCCCACTTTAGCAGCTCTTATTGCCACCTCCTTGACCCAGAAATGGACTAATAAAGGGGATGAAAATGACTGAATGAAGTTATGCATGTCAATTAGATATGGGAGAAAAGACGATGCGACCTGGTGACTGTAGATTCATGATCAGGACCACAGCTGCAGAGGATAGTATATTAATGAAGTATTTTATATTTTCTCTTGTTAGAATATGTTTGTTGGGAGATTTTGTCATTATTAGCACCTTGGTATCGTTCAGATAAGTTGTTCAGGAATGGACAATTGATTTCTCTTTTAACCCTTTAGACGCCAGAGATTTTTTCCTAAGAAGCTCACTTTTGACACACAATTTCTTAATAACTTCAAAGTGAAAAGAGATAGAGGTTTTATGTAAATTAGAGAAACCCTGGTGACTTCATATGGTGGTAGCAATCATGGATTTTCCTGAATTATGAATATATTTTTGCTGACAGACACACATCACTAGGACATGAACACACAAACACCACTCACATTGTACCACACTCAAGGGTCAGCAAAACCGAAATAGCAAAACAGAGTAAATCATTGTCAGGGATTTTTTTATGAATTTTGACACACAGCAGTACCGCATATTGTCGACTTTAGTCAACCGTGGCCCCCAGAGGGTTAACATTTACAACAGTTTTTAATTATTTCTTATTATGAAGGACTGAACTCATTGACTCGAGGGCGGTCTCCCATTTTCTCACACTCACCTTCTCCTCATCACTGTCGCAGAGGATCACATGGCTTTGTGTACATGCCGCACATATGTAGGTCAGGTACACCACGGTCGCCTCCCGTTACCATGGCAACTGAGCATCAAACATGGCGTGGGGAAGAGGAAAAATAAGTGGACTCTTGGACCAGCAACGCTCTGCCTACAGATGTAGTCCCCCACGGTGTTAACCCTTTCAGATTAACCAAGATTATGAGGAGTGCGTTCCAGCACTTTAAAGCAGCGGCTCGGAGATCAATAATCCAACATCTGTGTGTGACATCATTAACCTACATTCGCCCAAAACAAGGAGAATATTTAATAATAATCCTGAAGTTTCACAAGTTTTTGCAGTAATGGTCTCTCCTGTGTGTTCACCTGAGGTCTTTACAGAGGGAGATCTCCAACATGGATAAGAACACACACACATACACATACTGTACATACATGCCAACACACATATGTACAAACACACACACATACATATATACAAATACACACAAACACATTCACATATACACACACACACATACATAACATACACATACACACAAACACATTCACACGCACATACACACCGCACACACAGACACACGCACACACACATACACATTCACATACAGTACATTCATACATACACACACATACACATATACAGATACACACATACACAAACACATATACAGATACACACAGATACACACGCACACACAAACACATATACAGATACACACATATACAGATACACACACACACATACACATATACAGATACACACACACACAAACACATATACAGATACACACACACATACAGTACACATATACAGATACACACATACACATATACAGATACACACACACACATACACATATACAGATACACACGCACACAAACACATATACAGATACACACACACATACACATATACAGATACACACACACACAAACACATATGCAGATACACACACACACATACACATATACAGATACACACACACACATACACACACACACATACACATATACAGATACACACACACACATACACATATGCAGATACACACACACACAAACACATATACAGATACACATACACATATACAGATACACACACACAAACACATATACAGATACACACATATACAGATACACACACACACACACATACACATATACAGATACACACACACATATACAGATACACACACACATATACAGATACACACATACTGTACACATACTGTACCATACTGCTCCCTGTGTCCAGGCTGAATGCAGATGAGTTTCTTGAAGAAGGAATGACGACAAAACAGCAGAAAGCTTCCTCTGTTCTTTGCACAAACGTGATGAAGAACACAGTCTTCATCATCGTCACTGAGACCTTGAGCCGAGAACTGAGAGAGCCACAGGACGACGGGGAACGATGGTACAGGACCATTGTGGGGACTACAACTAACAACAATCTGATGAGTCCGAATATTTCATTAATTATAATCCTTTCAATCCTAAATAAACAATTTGGTTGAAAAAGTTTTTGTTTTGTTTATACTTGAGTCTGTGTTCAGTGTTTTGTCTTCTCTCTGGATGGTTTGGAGAAAAGAAGAACAAAGTC